AACAGAGTACCAACTCTTTTGGAATTAAATTTCCTGGTTGAATGACCTAGCTTTTCTTCTGTTCATAATACTCTCCAAGTAGCCCAAATTCTTCAATTTTTTTGTCCCTTTTTTTATGTTTATTTCACAATTTACTGATTTTCTGGATTGAAAGGTATATGAACAGTTTTATTCCAATTCAAATTGTGGAACCGTCACTTAACTGCTAGTGTACTCTCCAATTTTTTGGGGCAATTTTGGCCCTCCTAATTCAAATTCTCAATATTTAACTAGTTAGATTGTTTTAAATTTCAGCGGATCACTATTTCTATTTGTGTGGTTAGGATTGCTTCTTATTTCTCAGTTCTTACACTAAGACTTATTTGTATTTTAACCTAACCCTATATATATATATTACTAGTACGAATCCCGTGCTATGCACGGTAGGAGATATTATTAGGGAGATTAGATACCATATAGTAACACCTTTCTAGTTCTTATATAAATAGTAACACCTTTCTAGTTCTTATATAAATAATTAAATATTTGTTTATTTTGGTTCTATTTTCTTTAACTAATACGAATCATGTGCTATGCAGGGGTAGGAGATATTTATTAATATATATAAATTAAAAATACACCTTAAATAATATTTATAACTTAGAAATATAGAATCAATTGTAATACAATTTACCTATATTAAATTTATTGAAAATGTTATATGAAATTTAAATTGTGCAAAATTATAAAAAATATGTCTATTTAAAATTAGTACACAACCCGTACGGTGAACGTAACTGATAATAAATTACAATATAATTTCAAAATAAGTGTCATTTTAAAATTTTCATTCAGAAATTCAATTTAAGTACAATGTAATTCCATAAAATAATAATTTTGATAAAATGTTATGAATATTTAAAAATTTATGTGAATAATAAGTACAGTTATAAAACTATATTATTTTATTAACTAAATTGAATTTATTTTTGTATAAACTATCTAAATGAAAAAATTAAGTAGTTGAGTAATTTATTAAATCATAAATAATTAATTATTCTATTTACGTCCAAGTTAATACTAACCCGTAAATTACTAAGAATAACTTATTTGACTTTTAAATTTGGAAACAAATTTAGACTACACAATAAATTCTTTATACATATTATCTCTCAATTTTTTAAATTTTTTTTCGGTTACCTTATTGCTCAAATTTATCAACTAATTCTCTAAAATTAAATTACAAATTTTAAATTTTATTAACTAATATTTGTTCAAAAATCTTTCTAATATTCAAAAGGAATACAGATCAATTTGAAAAATTATCATCAAAATCGTGTTGGTTGATCAAATTTTTTAGGGAAATGATGTACATATTGTATTATTTAAACCGTAAAGTTGTGAATTATTTGTAGAATAAATCAATTTGTAGTATATGAAATCCTCAATTTTTGGAATAAATCAATTCGTAGCTTTTGAGCCTTACATGGAATCCTCAATTTTTGAATTGTTATATTCTAAATAGTTTTATATTGAATAGTCACTATTGTGTGATTTTATGCATCATAACTGACTCATGAACCGACCTATCAAACGTGTTGGGGTGAATCAATGAAGATATTATTTAACAAAATCAGTTAGTACTAATCACATTAATCGTAGTAGTTGGAATCCTCAATTTTAAAAAATATTTGAAGTGATATGTTTTTATCATGTTTAGGAAACTGGTACATTCTTTAATTAAAAAAAAAAAAATTAATTTTAAACAGATGATCAATATAATCGGTTAAAAAAAAGGAAGTCAAATATATTGCTAAAATAATAATATGTTTTCCAAATGAAAAGGATCTTGAATTTATCCGATATGGAAGGAATCTCATAAAAAACATATTGAACTCATCCAAAACATACTGAATTTCGGAATGAAAAAAAATCAAACTTTTGAAAAAATTTCAAACAAAACATTAGAGGGAAAAAAGTGATTTGAGCGGTAAAATGAAATAATTTTTCAAATATTTTTTTTTCTCTATATTATATAGTAATAGATTTGTTAACATAGAACTAGTTTTTGTCCCGTGCATTTGCACGGAAACTATATGATACATGAAAAAATAATAAAAATTATAAACAATAGTAAAAATCATAACAAATTCATTGAAAAAAAATTAAGAAAAAAAATATAAATATTCTTAAACACTTCTTTATAAAACAATGTCGTGGTTTTTCTATCGTCAAAATCTCCCTCAGCTCAAATCAAAATCTTCAAACTCCACTGACTCGTAATTCTAAAAAGCGCCACATATAATTGCTCATGACTAAATGCAGAGCTCTTCAGTAGTAAGCCGACGTGCGACAGAGACTGTCTTTGACTCTTATTGATCATGTCATAGCATAGGAATCACTTCTTTATATTGTTTGTCCTCGACTCTTATTAATTGATTGATAGAGATTGTCCTTGCTTCTTAATAAAAAAAATACTATCTAAATATAAATGAGTAAATATAATATTAATTTTTTATATAAACAAAAAATTTAAAGTAATTGATAATGAGTATAGAATTACCCTTGCGGATTCAAGTTATTTTAACGATGTTCTTTTTATATATCTAAGTTTTAATTTTTTTTTCTGATTTATATGAATATAAGCACATTTGACTAATTTTTATAAAATTTATTAAAAAAAGTTACTATTTTTTTGAAAAACTGATAAGATATTAAAATAATACTGTACTTAACATAAATGTGGGATTAATTAAAATAAATCTTTTTAATTTAGTCATTAACTAATTAAATTTAACTATAAAAAACCTTCTTAAATGTGAGATTAATGAGTAATTAATTAAAAAAATGTAACTCCTTTTGGAGGGAAAGTGAAAATATTTTTATTAAATGTTTTATTAATTGGGATTAGCTAGCAATTATATATATATAGATACTTGACAATATAATATTTCATATCCTTCTAAACAATTAATTGGGGTGTATAAAAACATGTTAGGTCGAAAATTTTATGAGCTTATGTACAAATTAAAGTTCACATAAATAGAAACATGTTCCATCATGGTGAAATACGTTATAATTTCATTCATAAATAGAAACATAAATAGAAACATGTTATAATTTCATTCATGGTGAAATACGTTAATGGTCCATCATAATTAACTCATACAATCAATTTTAATATTAATACCAAATTTACTTTAAAAAAATAATTTTAATATTCTTTTCCCTGTACTGTATATACTAATTCACAAACATGATGAGAATTAAAGATACATTAATCTTTTTTCATTTATCTGTACTATATTCTTTCTTTTCTCCTTTCTCGGGAACCGAATCCATCAGTTCGATATCCTCCTCATCCGTTATACCCAGCCAATATCGGGAATATTGTTACAACATGGATTTATATATGTATATATATATATATATATATATATATATAT